GACGATAAGCTATATAAAGAAGTGGGCCAAAGAAGACATATGGGCTAGGGAGACCAAGATTGAGCATAGGAAGTGTAAAGCTAGACTAGCGTTAGCAGCCCTTTCGGCTCGGCCGCCGGGCGTAAATAAATAAATTGTGTGTGTGTACGAGCTTAGGGTACTCTGAAGGTCGCTCAAGGGAGCCCTCATTTATATCTACCCTTGAAGCCTTAGACAGTCTAATTATTTCGTGATCCCCGAACAAGACACTCACCAATCAAACGGACTTAATCATACAAGTCTCAGCTGAAAAGTTCAATTGATATAAATAGAGTGGTGCATATGGTGCTGAGGCATTTACTATTCTATATCATACGTGCAATGCGATGACTGCATACAGCTGGTTTCTTCAAACTAACTGCAGCAGCGGACCGGTCGAAGCTAATTGGTCTATCCTGGCAAGCATGTCAGATCTACTTGTACAAGTAGATAGAGGAGTAAGCGTTGGCTGTAGGCTGAAAACCTCGAGCTGGTACTCTCATGCTATACGGTTATGAGAGTCTATGTAATATGGTACGACGTGCTGACTATCTAGACCTTCTATGGCCCAGCGGCTATTCACGCTGATGTTCAACACTTCCCCAGCCTGTTTCACCCCGCTCGCAGCTGAATATCTGAATGCTTCTCTATTGGTGTCGTTCTGTCTGCTTATCGCTCTGTAGTCTTATCGTCCTGTCGTCTAGGAATTAACAACCCTAGGCCTTCACATAACGCTGCCAATAAGCGCGAACGTCTCAGCTTTCTCTCCAGTGGTTTGGAGGTGCAAATGTGCCTCTCGCATACGCGGCTGACATGTGAGGATTGGCTTAGCTGACTAACTTTGCTTATCTACTCCAGCTACTCTCATGCTGCATGAAGAAATAATCTATAGGAAAAAAAGCAGACTTTACGACGTGTTGCTACAAACATTTACGAATATGTCCAAGGTAAACACTGCAAGTCCACACTCTTCCCGGCCCAGCACCTATACCGACTGTAGGCACGCACACGCACACACACGAGCATGACGATCGATACTTTAATAGTACCCACAGCATGTTGTTGCCAGCATACTAGATCCACATCATGTCCGAGCTAACGCTAGTGCCTACATATAAGGGAAGCCTAGGTTCTGCAATATCTCCTGCACTAGAAACTTCTCAGCTCGGAATAACAACAGTACCTATATCAGTGGAGAGGCAAGAGCTAATGAAATCAAAGGATGCGTCATAAAGAGTCCTCCCGACGTCGAGAGTTTGCAGGTAACACGCCGCTGCTCGCATTCCAGATCTTGACGGTGCTGTCCGAGGACGCTGACGCCAGCTGCGTTGAGTTGGGCGAGAAGGCCATTAGAGCTGACCAGGCTGCCATGGCCCCTCGAGCATCTAAACGCACGCGTCCCAGTGGTTAGTTAGAAGCTGGTCTAATAGCAATCCCTCAAGGCTCGCCGTGCTGAGAATGCCGCCTAGTTACACTGTTTATTGGCATAGATAACAACACAAATGCATGTACCTAAAGAAGATAACCTTTAACTAATTAATGAAGTAAATCTTTGTATAGCAGCTGTTTTCAAATAGTGTAATTAGCGGTTTGCAAGCAGACCACTTATGCACAAGGTACCTCGACTCGCCATCTATAGCGAGGAGGACATTTAATCCGCACCAGCTATATAGTTATAAGCTTTCTAGCGATAGAGGAACGTTGTATTGCAGATATTAGTAGGAGCCAGGCAGCTTAGACTAATCTAAAGCGAATAAGTTATAGCTCTCGATAAGGCTGACCCCCTACTGTAAGAAAAGGACGCGAAGTATAGATACCGCAAGCCGATTCTGCAAGCGAGCGTAGTTTTCCGTGATGATGTTGCGTGAGTTTCGGAGTATTTTGTTGGGGATAGTCATCACATGTTCTGATGCGGGAATGTTCTCTTTTGTTAAAAGGAAAAGGAAAAGGAAATATGGCGTTATTGTGTATCAAAGCGCATAAACAGATCTTTACGTATTCTTGGGTTGTGTTTTTTTAACAAACAAAAAGGGTCAAGAGAGATGCATGCACTACTTGGCGTACTTCTCTACAAAAGCAATCGTATGATCCATGACCTCGTTTGGGTTCGAGGAATTCAAAAAGTGCTCGCCGCCTTCGATTAGTTCGAGCCGGGCATCGGGCGAGTTTTTGAAGAGCTTGATTTCTTCTTGGGCGTTTGCAACGGTATATACTACATCTTTTGTTCCCTGGGAGTCATACAATGTCAGCAACATATCATGTTTCGGATATCGTCAGCTTGGTGCTTAGCGAGAGGTAACTTTCGTGTAAGCACCATAGTACTGAAGGATTCGTAGAGGATGGAAATAAAGAAATGCTGAAAAAAAAGACTCACATGCAGCCACAAAACCGGACAGCGGACATCCTCAGCCCTCAAATGCAATCCATCTCTATCCCTCAGATTAATCGCCGCCATCCTCATCCTCTTCCTCCCTTCATCACCCGCATAATTCTTCTGAAGCTGCTGCGTCCAAAATTCCTTGGTCTCCGCGGAGCAATTCTCACCAAACCCTTGACTAATGAGGAACTCGGCGAATTCCTTGGTAGGTACAAAGTCGGGAGTGGGCTGGTTGTCCTTCGTGCCGAACTCGCCCGTGATGAGGTGGGCGAGAGCATCCAAGGCCTGCCAGCAGCCGAGTTGGCGACTGCGTTCAGATTCGTAGTCGAGGGATGTTCCGAGAGGGATTATGCCTTGGATCTGTAGGCCAAAACCCAGCGGTCAGCCCATTCTTTCCCTCTGGTAAACAGCGCCTTCTTTCCCCAATATCATACTTCTCTTAAGTCCAACCCCTCCTAGCAACTCTTATAAAGATGTTGAAAGAAAAAAAGCTAAACCTTACCTTACTTCCGCCCAAAAGCGCCATCCTTACCGTAACCCACCCCCCCTGACTCGTTCCCATCACCACCGCCTTCTCAACCCCCAACCCCTCCATAACCTGCAAATTCATCACCGCAGTATCCCAATACGTCCAGTGCTCCGCCTCATGCGCTCTCGTGCCGCCATGTCCCAGCAGCTCGATCGCCAAAAGGTTCATCCGGGAGGTGAGGGCATCGTTGTTGAAAAAGGAGTCGAAGAGGGCGGAGGTGGTGAGGAAGGAGTTTACGAGGATGAGGGTGGGTTTGGAGGCGGAGAAGGAGGGGGTGAGGCGGTAGGAGGCGGTTATGCCGCCGAGGTGGGGGACGGTGATTGTTTGTGTGGTTGACATTGATTTGTTGTTTGAGAGAGAGGTTTTGGGGAGAGAGAGAGGGGATTGAGGAGGGGTGTGGGGCTTGGTGTTTAAAAGAGTCAGTTGGTACTGCAATGGTTGCTCGGTTATGTCATGGTTTGGGGGCCTCATGTGACAGCGTTTTCTTGGGGGCGGTGCTTTGACACTGCGGCACTTATAAATGCCTGGGTTCTGCCTGTGGAGTGATTTTTTTTTGCGAGGCTTCTTAACGTGGTCTAGAAGGACTTCTCTGTAAGTCTTAGGTGCAGGGTAAGATGGTTGATATCTCGGGATGACCCCGTTTGTCGAGAGTTTAAAAGTGCGGCACGCGTTTCAGAATGCTGGGGTAAAGCTTCGTAGAGCGGTTGCGGGTGTTCCGGAGTGTCATCTTATCAGGCTTTTGTTCTCAGATCTTCGTTTTCAAACGTCTTGCGTAGCTACCAAGCCGGGGAAACGAGGATTAGATGGCTTGGTGTCTTGCGGACCGTGCGCGATTTGGTCGGGGTTTAAATTAATGGATGGGACACCAGCACATGCGACGTGGTATGTTACTAGGTGGGGGTAAGGTAGAAGCATCAGTAGAGTGACATATTAAGGTTTGGACATATGAAGCTAACCTTGTACTGTACTATTATCTGACTTTCTCTGGTACTGGGGTATTGTAACACTATACACGCTTCCATAACAGTAGCGCTTATTCTTAGCGAAATAATGTAAGATTGGCTTTCCCAGAAAGAAACATGAGGACTCGGTAAGACATTGTGTCGTCCTCGAGATGATTGGGTCAATGATTATTGGTGATTCAGCAGAAGAGGGGTAAATTGGGCATCAAGTGTATGCTCACAGTATGTGATATTTTGAACATTTCAAAATGACAAAATCGTGTATTGATGCCATCAAATGGCTTTGAAACTCACGCCGCAAATCTCATGAACACGTAACAATTACTGAAAATATCGCCCCAACATTAAACTCGTAGCGCAGCTTGATGAAAATCTAAGCTGTTCTGCTTGTGAGCGTTAAAATGTGACAGGGGAGAAGAATTGTGGAGCGAATTTGATTGGGAAGTATTGGGTAGTGAGGGAACACTAGCAATAAGGCCATTTAGTAGACGATTCAAGGTTATAGCGTCTTGTTCTAGACGTTTGTGTTTGGTGTACTTTGTGCCCAGGGTTATTATACAGTGGAACATTGCGAATATGCTTTGGTGTTGGTTTGGCTTGGTTTCGTTTTCAAATCCATTAAGATGACCGTCCTGGACCCTCCAGTTTCCGCATCAGCGACTTTGAGGTTGCTGGTATAGTATCTACAGTAGATAAAGTACTTATTACATGAGCACCGCTACTCTTGTACTATGTTGTAATCGGAAAAATGGTAGATGATGTGACATCTCTGAGCCAAATTTTCTTGTGACTTATACCAATTCATGTGAGGAAGTGATAACACGGTGTATGATACCTATTTTATTTCATGAATGTTCGTTACTTATGTCTAGCCATTGGTTCTAGATCGGTTTTCTACTCTATAAGAAACCCAAACATCCCATCTGGTCAGCCCTCTAGTTCTCAAGAACATACCTATACCTTGCCTTTCCAGCCTCCATATCAATAATCGCATTATTAGCGTCGCTCATTGGTCTCTTCTGTACCCATGGCTTAATCTTCTTCTCAGCTGCCAACTCCAACATCTCCTTGATCTCCCACGGCGCACCGATACCACTACCAGCGACGCTAATTCCCCTCGTGAGAAGCGTGAAAGCGTTGATAGGAGGTAGCTCGCCCTTATCAGGGGCACCGACCTGGACGAGGGTGCCGTGGGTCCCGAGGAGTCCGAGGTATCCATCCAGTGGCATCTTTACGCTCGAGACGGTGGAAATGATGAGGTCCAATGTGCCGGCGTTGTGCTTGGCCCAGTCTGCGTCTTCATCAGTTGCGATGTAGCTGTCGGCGCCCAGCTTGAGCACGTCGTCGCGCTTCTCAGCTTTACGGCTGATTCCTACGACTTTGTCGGCGCCCAGGGCTTTTGCAAAGAGAACACCGAAGTGGCCAAGACCTCCGACTCCGACAATTCCTACTTTTTTTCCGGGGCCGCAACCGAATCTCCTCAGTGGTGAATAGACGGTCTGATCGTGGCGTAGTCAGCGTGTGCTTCAATCTTATAGTAAATTGAAGGTGTAACTTACGATTCCTCCGCACAGCATGGGTGCGGCATCAGCACTATCCAAGCCTTCAGGAATTTTGAGCACAAAATGTCCATTGGTACGGTTGTGCTTTGCGTATCCTCCGTAAGACTTGCCCTCGTCACCGGGGTAAATGGAACCGTAGGTACTGACGTTTCCGCGCGAGCAGTGGTTTTCAATGCCATTTGAGCATTCGGGGCAATCTGGCTGTAAGCAAGAGCGTGCTTGTGCTCCAACACCGACGCGGTCGCCTTCCTTGACGTGCTTCACATTCTTGCCAACTTTGACCGCTTTGCCAATGATCTCGTGACCGACAACGCAAGCTGCTGTATGTTAGTATGCGGGATAATCAATAACAATTGGATATATCTACGGTATGGGGTAGGTGCCCAGCCAGAGCTTAGCATGTGCAAGTCTGAACCACAGATACCGCAATGGGAGACTTCAATATCGACATCGTCCTCAGTCCACTTCTTGGGCTCGAATTGTCCCCATTCCATCTTTCCCTTGACACTCTCCTTGTCCTTGCCAAGCCATCCCTCGAATTTGGTGTCTGTAGCCATTGTGTCGTTGATGTAAATGTAATGTTCAGTGTGTGTTTAGGTATTGTTGTATATTGAAAATGAGTTTTGCCAGAGTGGCAGAAAATCCCTCACATTTATGTACATATGTAAAGCCTTGATCATGACCTCTGTCGGCGGCCCAGTATGACGTGTCCATAGAACTTTGTCCATCTGGAGCAGCCTCCACGCGGAGTTAACCCACTGACTCCGGAGGTGGCCCGCAAATTCACCTATCTCTTGGAGTTGATCGGGCCGTTAATCAGTCGAGGCAGCGGGGGGACTGTCATCTACTGGACGTCAGGCGGTATGTTACTCTACTAGTCAACGGCAGCCAGTGCTACCTTACCATTACAGTGGTAGTCACCGAGCCGCACGTCATGAAGAAAAGTCGTTACCCACTATGCCACTAGCACACGGAGCGCAACCGTACTCTTCTCTCATTGGCTGTGTGTCTCGCGCTAACAGACCGACAGACGTCGGGATCCACCGGGAAGACAGACTGATGTAGAAACTTTGTTTAGTAATATCGGAGTTAAAGGTGGGGATAGAGAGAAATCTATCGAGAATCATGTGCCGAACAGTGTAGATTGAAGCGCACGGAGATATGATCCGCGTCCACAAACTCCCGAAGGTGGTCTGGCGTACAAGCATGCCTCTGTCTCATATCGATCTTTTTGTTGGGATAAGAATGGAATATTGGGTTGATATTTCGTTCGTCAAGATACTGTACATACATGTGTAGTAGAGAATTTCTCTTAATATTGACTCAAACTTACCGGAAGCGCTCGAATTGCTCTTCCTCGGCCATTCTCTTATTTACGCGCTCAATCGTTTCAGCGCTGTAAAAATCTTCAAGGCTCTTTTCTCCCTTCAAAACCTCCTTCTCGTGCTTGCTTGCCTCTTCCTTAGTCATAAGAACCAAATCTCTCATCTTGAGATGGCTGTTCTTCTGTCCTGGAGTGCTTTGATCGACAAAGCTTTCAGTTGGCTTCCTCCATCTTGACAATATCAAGCGTGTCGATAAGCCACTGACTATGCTTTTCCCATTATACACTTCTTCTACTAAATAGCCAACATCGTCTTGTGTGATGGGAATCTTGAGACCAAGAGGATCTTCGCTGAAAAGTGCGCGAGCCAAGCGTTCTTCAGCGCCTTGGAGAGCGCCTAGAATACCATCGTACATCTTGTCTCGAGATTTCGATGGAAGATATTCATGTGGGTAACCGGAAATGGAGAGAATGACATGGTTGGCAACGGCCAAGCCAAAGATTGCTGGCATGGTACCCAAAACTGGCAAAATTCGTACCCGAAAGTCTGCAAGAACACCCAACTCTCCAACGTTGCCTTTTGCGAATTCTTCTTCTGAGAGAGGTTGAAGCTCAGCCTTTCCAGGACCTGGCCTCTCGGTCGAGTAAACGACTGGTATACCGTCTTTTACACCTTTCAGCCGCAGCTTCCGTCTGGTGGACTTTGAAAGGGGGTCATCTGTGCTTGCTGAAATGTCGCCAATGAAGATTCTAGTAGGATCGGACTTGCAACCTGCACCCATCGAGGAGATGACCTTGATGTTGTTCATGTAGCAGTAAGCCAAAAGAGCAACTTTGCTGTCGATGTTGTCGATGGCGTCTATTACAAAATCTGGTTGCTGGCCATTTAGAGGCGCCAACTGGGCAGCTGCAGTCTGCTCACTGAACAGTTCGTTTCGGCATTCAAAGTGGGTCCATGGTGTGATCTGTTCGAGCCGCTTGCGGAGGCAGTGCACTTTGGGTGTTCCGACATCTGCCAGCGTTGCTACTGCATGTCGGTTGAGCGAAGACAACGTAACTTGATCAAAGTCTATGAGACGGAGCTTGGAGCATCCTGATCTTGCAAGAGCCGCCGTTGCATGCGATCCTACTCCACCACAACCGACTACGACTACGAATGCTCCCCGTAGCTTCGCAAGTCCTTCATCTGTAAGAAAGACCCGATTTCTCGCCAATTGCTCGAGGATAAGATCTAATGGTCCCGTGTGAGAACTCAATGTAATCGTTTTCCAAGGATAGGGACGTCTTACCGTCGTCATAATCGCCTTTTCTCGCTCGCGCGGCGAGTGCCATGCTGCGCTCATCTTCTTTACTTGGAGCAAATACATGTGAAGCAGCACCATATTCAGTCAGCTGTAAAGCGTCAGAAAAATTGTGCAACTCCAAGAATGAGGCCACCATGACAAAGATTAGCCGGCGCAATTGTTGTACTTGCTCTTGACGGACGGTGGTCTTTACTGAGATCTGGAATAGACGCTTTCAAGTCTGCTACTCTTGTCATACGTCGAGCTTTTTGAAATCCGAGGATAGCACTTCCAACTACAAGGCCCGAGACGGCAGCGGTCGCTACAAGCTGTGCATTGTGGGACTCGGAAGCCCGCGATATCCACGAAGGCATCCTGGTGGGGTTGAGTCGCACAGCGTGAGACCGTGCACTCAATCTATAATGCTATGACCATACAGGAAGAAAGGAATCAAAGAAAAAGAAAAATGATTGAGAATTCTGCGAACTGAGAATGGCTGGGATGATTTTTAGTCATATTGAGAGTGCTGGCAGGCTCCCAGTTGTTGACGCTAGTGCGGATGCGGTAAGCGTCAAAGTCTGCTTTGAGAAAACGCAGATGACCACCAGCATGGAAAAAGCAGCCAGCAGCGAACCATACAGAGACAAATATACGCGTTTGAGACACTCCTCACGCGCCAGACAGGACGCTGGACTGTGCGGGTGTCTTGTCGCCTACAAGAGGCCTCCACGTCCACTTCTACTCCTTGCGGCCCACATCTCCGAGTACTAAACTGCAACCATGTCGAAACTGACATTCGCCTTGATCGGGGCAGGCGGTGCTGCTGCCGGTGCTGCAGTAACAGCAGCGCTGTACTCTACCAGGAGAGACAACTTTCCACACACGCCAGCTGTCACGACAACCGCCACTACAACTGTGACTGGATCCACACGAGCAGGCCCAATTCCCTCAGCCCCAACGGGCCTCGCAATTCATGCCCCTGCCATTGCTGGCAGAGCGGTTGTAGATCCCAACGGTCTCTTCCAATATGGCTTTCCCGGTCCGGTCAATGATCTCCGCCCTGCCGCCTCTCTCACATCGTCATACGACCGACGGACGCGAAACCCAGCATGGGTAGCGGAGCACATAACCCCAGAGTCGCTAGCAAACAACAATGCGGATCGAAAGCATAGTGTCTTCGTCGAGGATGTCTCAATCCCTGAGATGTTCCGCGCAAAGCTCAAGGACTACCTCCGCAGCGGCTATGACCGAGGCCACCAAGTCCCCGCAGCAGACGCAAAATGGAGCCAAGAAGCCATGGACGACACCTTTGCGCTGAGCAACATGTGCCCGCAGGTGGGCAATGGCTTCAACCGCGATTACTGGGCCCACTTCGAAGACTTCTGCCGCAGACTTACACAGAATTATCCCTCTGTACGCATCGTAACCGGCCCCTTGTACCTTCCCAAGCGCGACGAGGATGGCAAATGGCGTGTCTCATACGAAGTCATTGGCTCACCGCCCAACGTTGCCGTCCCTACGCATTTCTACAAAGTCATTTTTGCCGAGGACGGCAAACTAGGCGGCAAAGTCGCACTGGGAGCATTTGTGCTGCCCAATGCAGTCATCTCCAACAGCAAGCCCTTGTCGGACTTTGAAGTGCCCATTGAGGCGGTGGAGAGAGCAAGTGGCTTGGAGTTTGCAACAAAGCTGAGCCCCGACAGGCGGAAGAAGTTATGCCAAGAGGTCAACTGTGGTCTCATCGTTAAGGAATATGCACAGAGACAGAAGTCGTTTGGCAAGCAATAATTGAAAGTCAGAGTTTGGTATTCAACCACATGTCTTATCTTCATATGCAGCTCGTGTTGCTAGTCGTACATTGTATAGTACATTGTCACATCGATACGTCGCCCTACTCGTACAGATGGCATTTCTCATGTTACCCATGCGCCCGGAAAAGCAAGACCGTCGGTCTCGTCTATTCTGTGTATTTTGCCATGGCATCGTTGCTCTCAGAAGCCTTTTCCTTGTATCCCCTCTGCAGAATTTAAAAGTTCTGCACCGCGCCGCCCTGGGCGCTTTCACGTTGTATCCTCGCTACGTATTGCTTGCTAACAGTGTTCCATGCGCTCATGTACTTTTCCATGCATGCAGTGAAGCAGTTTTCTTCGCCTTTGGAGAGGGATGTGCCGGGCTTGGGGACGCAGCGTTCAAAGCAATGCTCGTTGAGTTTCTGTGAATAATTAGCATATGGAATTTTTCGAGACAAATGCAAAATGTATAGGCGTACCTCGACAAGCATGCGCGCATTCTGCATGGCGGCCTCTTGCTGCACCTGGCGCATGACGGCCGTCTTTGGGTCGCTGGGGCCTAATGAATTCATTATGGATTTTGTATATGTTTTTTTGGTGGAATTAGTGTATCCAAAAGCAAGAATTGCGAGTAAGGTGGGTGAGTCGTTGGGCAGTGGCTCCCGCGTGGAAAAGTTGTCGACGTCAAGAGCGGCGCTGCTCGCTAGCGTGGTTCCGCAACCCAAGACCCCTGCATTGCACGCGGAGGTGATAGAGTGGCCTTTCCAAACCCCAAGTCTCAGCTTTGAGAACTCCAGCACGTCCGAGTCGCCAACCCGTGCTGCCATCTTCTTTTCACAGCCTCGATCTCCTGGGGCTTTATTGCTTGTCAATTCCAAGACAGAAGTCTTCTTCCATTCTTTCTGCGCGCCAATTGTCGCTTGGTACCTTGGGAATCGCCCGTTTCAGGCAGTAAGAGGGAACGACGTGCAACCATGTTGCTTGCAAAACCATGGACGAGCTTGTGTTTGATGGCGGGGAGCTTGACGGGCGCATGGGCGCGGTCTGGAGGATTAACCGAAGATCCTGATATCAAAGCCATCTCGGTGCGTTGTTGCTACATGATGAGTTGAGGGGCCGCTGTCGCTAATCGGAACATAGCTGCGGACACACACCCTCGAGCCCGTAAGTCGCCTCTTCGTACCGTAGTTACTGCTGGAAGTAGAAAACTGGAATTTGCTCTGACACTAGCGATAGCCATATCTCGACTCGGATATGCAAAGCCGTTGGTGGGACTTTGGCGGAGACACCATTATTCGGACTGATAAGTACATTCGACTTGCTTCGGATAAGCCCTCGCGCGATGGCTGGATCTTCTCGAGAGTCCCTCTTACGGCTACAAATTGGGAGGTTCGTGCAAAAAAGACGCCACTGCTAAACTAGACACTCACACGAGCAGGTTATGTTTGAGTTCAAGATTCACGGACAAGGAAACCTCTATGGCGACGGCTTTGCCATGTGGCTCACCAAGCAGCGCGCACAGCCAGGAAATGTCTTTGGCCATACAGACAAATTCGAGGGCCTCGGCATCTTCTTCGATACCTACAAGAACAACCGCCCAGGCACCGTATTCCCCTACATCATGGCTATGAATGGCGATGGAAACACAGCATATGACAAGGACAATGACGGCAAGGCCAACGAGCTTGCTGGATGCTCGGTGCGAACGCCCAAAAAGTTTGAACTATATGTATTCTAACAAGTGAATCAGGCTCGCGGCATTCGCAACGCGCAAATTGCAACCAAAGCCCGCCTCACGTACTTTCAGGAGCAGTTCCTCCGCCTCGAGATCCAGTACAAGGCCGAAGACGAATGGACCATGTGCTTTGAAATCCCGAACTTCAAGGTCCCACCTGTTGCATACCTGGGCTTCTCTGCCGAGACTGGTGAGCTCTCCGACAACCACGACATTGCTTGGGTCAGGTCAACAAACCTCTACAAGAAGAGCCCTGGTGCGATGCCATCGACAGGAAGCACTGGTGGCAAGACTGCTTCGTCTATGAGTCGCGAGAGACCTAGCGAGGGAAGCTGGACATGGACTTTTGTAAAATTCGTGCTGTTTGGTATGGCACTAACTGGTGCATACGTCGGTTTCACCGTCTACAGGGCCAGGCAAAGAGACCGATTCTAGGGGAAGAATTCATATCTGAAGTTCAGTGGGCAGAAAAGGCGAAGCAACTGGAAATGTCGGAGATTACAGGTTGATGGGTGCGTCGAGATTGGGGATAAGTACGATTGGACAGCATTGTACAGTGTTGGAGTTGGTGGTGTGAAAACGACCTTTTTCAGGTCGTGAGCCTTGTTTACAGTTCCCTAGCGTATTTCCGTATTACTCTACACCTGGTCTATACCGAGTCACAACCCCACATACAAAATTTATTCAAAGTAGATGTATTGTCTCCGCTCATAATAACAGATCTCTGCACTGGAGTACGCAGGAGCTGTCGATGAAAGCAAGTGGAGTGGGTTGAGTATTGTTCTGGCATCCAATTTAGGTGGCCTGGCGACATGGAGAATAGGAAGCGGCCATGATGTTGGATGCACTAGTTCTGAATAAGTGGCATCGAGATTTATTCGATCTTCTCAGTTTAATCCTATGTGTTTGTTGCACGATTCCTAGTGCGAGCTTCAGCACTAATTGGCGGGACATGAAAACACAATCCTTGCAGCAGATAGCAAGAAGAGAGAGAAGCCCAAGGTTTGGAGGGGGAGGTATTCGTCTAGAGAGGTCGGCAATACTGCTTTTATGGGGCTACCCTTCGCCAAGATCTGGCTTCCCATTTGGGTAGGTTTACGTCTGATGTTGATAACAGGCTTATTGACATGCAGCTTACGTCACTAGCGTGCTATTAGCGCGGTCCTGTGACTGCGCGCCTGCTCAACTTTTGGCGCGTTCCATAGTCGGCTTCTCTCACCACCCACAACCCGAGCTGCGAGTAAGTAACCCCACGCCAGTATTTCTTACAGACTTGCTTGTTTTTTCTGCGCCATCGAACAGTTTTAAGAAAAGGCTGCGATTACGCTCTAGCTAACACAAGTCAGACCCCAATGAACGACAAACCTTCGTCACAAGGCGATGCTGGGGACTAATCCCCCCTGGCGTCTCACTGCATGACAGTTAAGAACGGAAAGCGGAGGGGGTGCGCCATCATACTAGATGAAGCCATACCACTGGCCACATCATTGCACAGCGATGGGCCAAAGGTGGTTTCGCAACGCTACTGGGTTCACTTTCACGACAAGCCGCAGCCTCAGCCTTTCCCACCGCGCACTGAGGACAAAGTAAAAGAGTTGAAGCGCCGTGCTGCCTTGCCTCAAAAGCTTGGAGGACGTTGTTCGCTTATGACATTTAATTGTAGTTTTCAATCCGAGCGCCTTTGCTGTCTAGGCATCGCAAGTGGGAAAGCGTGGTCTTTGTCGCTGGGGCTCGCTGGTTTGCGAGGCGGTGCTCCTGTAGGTGGGTCGTTCTTTTTCTTACCAAGAGCCCGTTGTACAGACGGATGAAAAAGGGTCCAATGATGATGTCCCTGTGGGGCATCAAAGCCAAAGTCGAGTTGAGGAGCCCGTTTGTTGCCTGTTAAGAGGTCGAGAGACTGAACATTAGGGAACAGCTGAGGTTCCTTCTGAGGACAGCAGGAGAGCTAATCTGAGGACCAAAATACATGGCATATATTTTCTCCAAGTCTTTGCCGTGTTGGGCTGACGTGATTGATCCCTAGGCTTTACAAAACATCTTGTTCAATACATGAAAAAGTCTAAAAGTTGATATTAAATATGCATCTACTTTACTCGTACAGGTAGCAAAACGGCCCATCGACTGTACTGACTAGGTCCTTGATCTGTAGTGGCTTGTCGGTCCTAAGTATGTCCATATCGATGGTGTCATTCAAAGTCGCCCGCCTACTGTCTGTTCCGTTCCAAAATAGCGTACCACCCGAAATAACCTGTTGCCTATTCGGGAAATCAAGCGCTTGCCAAACCGCATATACCAGATCAATCATGCCATGATGGAACCAGAAATAAACGTCTACAACACATAGTTTGTTAGTAAATGATTGAGTGGCAGTAGGGAAAAGGACTGAACGTACCACCAGGAGAAGCGTAAATATCACTTCCCGGATCTACACCAACGCTGTAATGGCCCATACTGTGAACACTTGGATTTCCCTGCATGTTTGTCTGGAATGACCCAATGTCCGTGTTGTTCAAGATGAGACCAACGACTTTTTCCATCGTACCGTCGCGTCGTGTGAGATAGCTAGTGATGTCACGTCTGACGCAGCGAGGGTTGTATCCGAAGCCATCCGCACGAGGGTTCGGCCGGTCAGGCAGGTTCGTTGCGAGTCCGCGAGGTCTGGGCAAGATGTGTTAGCTGGATTTGCTATAATAAGAGGAGTATTTCGAAATGGCGAGAAGAGGAATAACGTACCCAAGGTTCATTTGCAAGCCCTTGAACGGTCCGCTAGCGATACAACCGCCGCCTTCACCAGCAGGTCTCTGAGCTGTGCCATTCACTTTCGTCTTATATCCCTGGCCACCAAGACTTGTCGGGCTGCCATCAAAAAGCGGGCTTGTCTCCAGGCTTTGAGACCATTTCGGCCAGTTCCAGTATGGCTGTGTGCCATTGTAGTGGCACTCGTTTCTCAGCGTGTCTTCAAAAGTGCTCATATAGTAGCGGTGCCAGGTGAGAAAGTTTCCAGTGCCATGGATGTATGGCGTCTGCTTCATGTGGACAACAATGAAGTCGTCATAGCGGGATTTGGCGCCAGGGTAGTCGGCAGGATCTAGCTTGGATGGCTTCTTCATAAGACATTTTACAGCAGAAATGTAGCGGCGTTTGGCTCCAGGGGACAAGTCACCCCTTGGTATCGAGTCAGTATTGCGAAAGAGAGGGAATTATGACGTAGACGACTTACCATTCTCGACGAATGCGCAACTTGTCTTTGGTACAGGTTGCAG